CTCTCATGTTTTTGATATTTTTTGGTTTATAAATCAATGCTCTCCTTGACTGTCTATTTTTCTTGTCTCCAGAAACACCATGATGTGTTAGCCATCACCACAGGTCTCTGGGATCCAGATCTCTGGCTACCCTTGTGGTTCTGTTGTCCACTTCACCTCTGATGTTTACTGGCTTCTGATAGCTCAGAGTTCAATCTCCCTATTGTCACAAGGCAGCCTAATTCCATTAGCTACATCTTTACCATAAACGTGGCTTTCAGAGAAAAGCTGCAACTGAGTTTCTCATATTGTACTCTGTATACCACAGTGCACATCCATTTAGCCAAGTGAGTGTCCTTTGGTCTTTTTATAAAACTTAGTCAGTGGCTGTCTGGTGTGATATTATCAATCTATTCTACATACCCGCATGGTTGAATGCTTTCCATAACACTCTGCCAAGGTATTTATGACATTTTTACCTAATTTATTCTAGACTATTGTCATTTCCAAGGTTTAAGGAACCATTCTGAAAAGTGTTGAGACTGACTTTGAGCATTCTTGTCAGAATGTGAAATTTTGAGTCACAGAAGCACACAATTCAAGAAACAATTTCCTATCTGTTCTTTTTCCCTTTACTATGGCCCACTACCTTCAAGGCACACTCAAATGCAGACTCTCCCAGGTCCTCCGGGCACATATTAGCTTTCACATAGGAGACAGCACTCATCATCAAACCATGCTGAGATGAAACCATAGTTTTTGGTCTGCATGTCATGGGTGGCAAGGGCAGAGTATGGTTGGGAGAAGCAGGAGGACAAACAGCATCATGGAAGACATTGCCTTAGATGAGGATGATTGCAAGGCTCCTCTTCTTTGTATAGGGCAGCGAGGCACTCGTGCCAGCCTATAGGACTAAGGGAGTGTTGGACTCTAAGGCTCTCAAGTTTGAATACAAAGTCTCAGGGTCTCACTTCTGCTCTGTGGAGACCCTGAGTTGCTGGGGCTGTGGACTCAATCTCTTTAGTAATTCGGTCATGCTTACAACCAAATCCTGACCTCTGATTTTTGGCCAGTCCGCCTTCCAGCTGCAGGAGATGAATGTATTTTTATTTTATTTTACTTTTGATGCCGGGGATTGAACTCAGGACCTTGCACTTGCAAGGCAGGCATGATGCCACTGAGCTAAATCCCCAGCCCTTGAATGTATTTTTAAATTGTACCATGGAGGTCAAGGTCCTGAGTTGATGGCCTAAGAATCTGAACCTGACAGAATCTCTTTCTTCAAGGCTTCTATGACAGATAACAAAAGCAACTCAGCTCTTCAATACTTATACTTTCCAATGTCTCCATATTTTTCAAGTGCTGGAGCTATTATGTAGGCTCGGTTTCCTTCACTTGTTTATCTCCAGCCCATCACAGGCCGGTCTCCTTAACTGCACTGCTGTGAAATTACACCACTTACCACCACAATCCCGCTCCCTTTTGCCATCTGAATAGCTAGTGATTTAATTCTAAAACCCCCTCCCGAAATCTACTTTCCAGGGTCATTTCTGGTACCAACTGCTCTTTGAGTTTCCACCAAAATAGATCCAGAGAATTTGAGTTTAAGTAGTTCATTTGAGAGGTGATCAAGGCAGCACAGTGAGGGCGTGGGGAAGTGAGACAGGAAAACAGAGAAAAGCTGCCAAAGGGGATGTGTGATTACTCTGGGCTCCTGTGGAGCTCAGTCCCACAGGGGCCCCTCTGATCGGCTGTCACCCTCAGAACTGTCCCACTGAGGGCTGTTTCCCCACCCTCGAATCCTTCATTGCTGAGGCTGCTCCCAGGGCATCACCCTCCTCATTCTTGGTCCCCCGAATGTGGCTGAGTGGAACGCAGTGCTAGAGGAAGTTCTCAGGCAGAGGTGCATGAGAAAGCTGTTGGCATGTTAGGAAACTATCAGGTGACCTCTGGGGAAGGCCACGGTGATGTGACTCCCAGCAGCCACCATCTCCTTTCTGATCACAGCAGCCTCCTTAGTGTCTCCCAGTGGTCCATGCTGCCCCTGCCATTGTGCTGTTTAAAATCCTGCAATTCGCAGTGTATACTGACTACTGTCCCTGGGGGCCTGTGAAATGCCAGACTTTGTATAAAGATCTCCCCTTCATTCGTGCATTTTGTCTTTATAAGAGCCCATGCCGTTCGTTCCATGGACAACACTGAGTCTTCTGGAGGTTTGAAGCCTTCAGCTCGGCCCAGGAGCGCCTCAGTCCTGCCCCACTTGCTCCTCTTCTCCTGGGCCCTCTCCTTTGTCTGAGCCGCCATGAGTTGCTCCTTGTTCCCCCAAACTTCACATCCCACATCCTGGCCCTGTGTGCAGTTCCCTCCACCTGGTATGCTTTTCCCTCTCTGTGTCTGCAAGTGCCCCCTGTCCTTCAGGCCTCCTCTCCAGGACACCAGCTCCCGGGTCCTCTGGCTGCCAGGCCATGCAGTGTCTGGTGGAGCCGCCACTGTCCCTGAACTCTCAGAATGCGACCTGGTGGCGTTGTGTTTGACTGTTTACTTGCTGTGCCCTGCCAGGAGAGCTTGAACACACACGCAGTGGATATTTGCAGGGTGAATGAAGGATCAGTGCTTCCATTCTAGTTCTCACTCTTTGCTGGCTCAGGCTGTTTCCTAACATTTTAATATTCCTAAGATTTTTCAGGAACAAGCTACCAGCTTCCACGGGCAACAGTCTTTGTTTTCTTGAATTTTGTTCTTCCCAGGATTGGAAGCTTCAGGAGGACAGAAACCATGCTGGATCCTCTGCCACTGTATCCCAGCACTGAACCTGGGCCTGCCTGGAGCTGGATACACATAGCTGGATACGTGTCTTTTTTTTTTCCCCCAGTCCTTTCTGGGGATTGAACTAAGGACCTTGTGGCATGCTACGCAAGCACTCTACCACTGAGCTACATCCTCAGCCCAACAGCTAAAAAAAAGAATGAACAATCAATATTCTTTATGATGTGCTTATTCTGGGATGAGGGATGAATTAGGGCCAGGTTTCTGGTCTCAGATTTGGTTCCTTCCAGAAGCCCATTCTGAAGTTAGGCATCCCTCACAAATAGCCTGTGAGAGAGGTGATCCCAGGGCATGTTCCTTGGGGAGAGAGAGAAGGGGACGGACAGGCAGTGAGTCAGGGAAGCAGGTTACCTCGGTGGGAGCTCTGAGCGTTATGTGCAGTTATCCCATAGGAGGGCTGTGGGCTTGGGTGTTGTTTGTTTGTTTGTTTTTGGTACCAGGGATCAAACTCAGGACCTTGTGCTTTTGAGGCAGGTGTGGTGCAGCTGAGCTAAATCCCAGGCCCCTGGGCCAGGTGTTTATACACCAAGACGGTCAGGCCCCATCAGCTTGTGAGTGGGAAAACAGCTCTGCTAGGCAAAGCAGGCCCTCAGGGAGGGCACTGTGGATACGGGCAGTGGGAAAGTGGGTAGGCATGCTTGGGAATGGTGGGAATGCTGGGTGTGCAGGGTGTTATCTTGGGAGTGATGGCCACAGAAACATCACTGGGCCCTAGGTGGAGATTACTGTAGGGCAGTGGCGGGAACCTACGGCATGAGTGCTGTGTGCCACAGCAGGCTGTTTGTTATCACTGGAAGCTCTAAGAGGTTTGCTATCACTGCTATAAGGGAAAGGAGAGCAGTTGAGAGCAGCGCCCATGTAAAGTCGCCTAAACTCTCTACTCCACTGCTTCCTTCTAATCCAACAGGAAGTTGCTGCTAGTTTTCACGGGACCAGTCTGGGAGTTTCTTCAGTGCTTACCTGTGGCTGTAGTTGTTACTCCTTGAGGGAAAGACTGTGGTAAGTGGTGAGTGCAAGGCCCATGTGAATGGGGTCAAAGAAAGTGCTTCTGCTTTAGCTACTGTGTGGGAATCTGGGTCATAGGATGTTGTGCAGCTAGATCTGATTTTTTGTTTTCTTCTTTTTTTGACAGTGTCTCCCTATGTAGCCCAAGGCTGTCCTTGACATCCTCCTTCTTCAACCTCCCAAGTATAAGGATTATAAGTGTGTACTCCCACAGCTGGTTTCAGACCTGATTTTTAAAAAGGGAAGTGGTAATCCAGATGTTTATATGAGTTTTCCTGACTTTAAATGTACTGAGTTGTAGTGTTCCTCCAAAATTCATATTCATCCGGAACCTTGGACTGTGGCTGTATTTGGAAAGAGCTTCTTCATAGACATAAGACAGGATTTTAGGGATTAGAGTGTGACCTAATCCAGTGACTGGGGTCTTTATAAGGGAGAAAATCGGGAGAGAGACACAGAGTGACAATGGTCATGCTACAATATAGAGGCAGAGATTGGAACCATGCTGCCACAAGCCAAGGAATGCTAAGGACTGCTGATACCTGGATTTCAGGCTTCTGGCCTCCAGAACTGTGGACTTGAAACTCCTGTTTTAAGCCAACCAGTCCGTGGTACTCTGTTACACAGCTGCAGGAAACTAAAGAGTTAGCGGTGACTCATTTTTAAAACCTGTGTTCTGGTCCTGGTCCCCAGAGCGCAGGGAAAGCACTACACATCTGTGGGTGGACGCTGGCCTCCAGCTGCCAGTTCATGACCTTCATGTGGGAACCTGCGTTGTGCAGAGGCTGGGGGAGCTTCACAGGGAAGGGGGGACAGGAATGGAGTCTGAAGGGTCTTGGAGTGTTTTGGGGAGCAGAGTTGACAGGACGATAAGGGTGACTGGTAGTAAGGATAAGAGAGAGAAGCGCTGGGCCATGCCGGTATTTTAGGCATGGCTGACTGAAGTGGGGAGCAGAAAGTCTGCGGGATGTTTGACAATTTGAGTTGGGGGCAATTCATGTGGATCTGGACTCAGAAGAGGTATCTGGGCTGGGAACAGAGATTTCTGGAAGTATCTGCAGGGAAAAGGAGCCTATGGAGGGAAGAAGATGTGGACAGGGAGAGAAGAGAAAGACGGAGACTGGCAGAGGAGCATGGGAGGTTCTGGAATGAGAGAGAGTCAACAACACTTTGGCAAAGGGAGAGGTTTCCTTCATTGCTTGTTTGGAACATTCACAAAGCTAATCCAGAGAGGGTGAGAACTAAGGTGCCCTGGGGCCTTTGCTCCTCAGGCATGGGTGGGGCTGGAAGCTGGGGGAAGGGGAGAAGAGAGGAGGAAGCAAAGCCCGTGGGCACATCCTGGTGGCATGGAGGGGACTGGAACTGCGAGGAAGAGGGAGTGAAAGGGTGGCTTTGGGCAGGAGGCAGGACCCCAGTTTTCAGAGGGGAAGGAGGGCAGGGGCAAGGATGCTGGAGGATGCTGGCAACTGTTGAGGGGAAAGGTTGGTGGGAGATCATTTCCTTTGGGATCACGGCCAACTCTGAAGGAAGCCTGGGGTCACCTGCTGACACTGCGGTGCAGCAGAGGTTGATGCAAGGAGGGTCCAAACTCACTCTCCCCCGAAGGGTTCACTGTCCTGTGTGCATGTTCTTCTCAAGGTACAGGGTCGGGGGCACAAGGAACAGGGACCGTTGTCCCCAAGTTATTGTGCATCCCTGTGGGGGCCTCCAATGCTGAAAGCACTACAGCAGGTCTGGTTTGAGGCTGCAGATCAGACTCTTTCTCTCTCTGAGGCAGGAGCACCATTCTGCTCTTTTCCTCTGTGAGGTAACCTAGGGACGTTATCGTCCATTACTCATTTACAGACGTTAACATGACTCCCTGCTCTGAGCATCCTGTGTGCCAGGCTGGCCCTTCGTATTCATCTTGTCCCTTCACTCTGCCCTGTTGAGGAAGGAGGGATCACTGCTGTCCCCACTCTGCAGCTGAGGAGGCCAGGGCAGGACAGGGAGGGAAAGCACCCAGGGGTGCTCAGCTGCCAACAGAGGCTAGGCTCTTGAGACTGGCTGTGGCCTCCTGCTGTATCCATGTGCTGTGTCTCCTGGGGCCATGTGATCACTCGTTATCCAGAAGTGCATCCCTGAAGACAGGTTAGAAATTGTAGGTGTGGGTACCGCAGGACCAAGAGCCTTCTCCCTCGGGCCCTGTCAGGGATGCTGAGTCCACAACACCAATGAGCTCTGGCCTGCTGCCCAGTCCTGTCCTTCATTCCCATCACCGGAGCTGCCTGGGAGCCAATGCTGGTGCCAACCCACTGTTGAGGCCTGGGGTCAGGGTGCAGAGCAGGCAATGGGGAACCACATTCAAGCGACTTGGAGTAAGCAGGCACTTTCTCTCCCAGGCGGAGGCAGAGAACGCGGTGAAAGGAAGGGTCAAACGAATTGAATTTGAATCCAGGCCTCGGTTTTCTCTAGTTCTACATCCAGGTGCTAAGTCAGGCATTCTTCCTGGGTCTCAGTTTCTCCGTCTGTGATATGGGGGGAATATTTTTCAGGGGTACTGCACAAACCCAGACCCCAAGAGGCCCCTCTCCATCGTGAGGATGTAACAACAATGACATCACCGTCAGAATGATCACAGTCAGCGTTTAGTGAGTGTTTACTACGTGCCAAGAGCTGTCCTGGGGCTTTGCATACGTTCTGTCCTCTCCTCATAATAACCGTGAGGTAGGTACACGGAGAAGTTAACCCAGGGAGCACCCTGTGCCCCTCTGTGACTTCACAGCCCACTGCTCACTTCCTGCCCTCCCTTCCTTCAACTACGGAAGGAGCTCATAATCGTGTACCACAAAGTGGGTGTGCAGCCCGTGCAGACCAATTATTCACACATAAGGGCTGGCGATCACGCAGGCAGCGCTTCCCCCATTTATCCCCTCGCGTTCCTCTGTTTCTCCTCGCGCCTTTCGTTTTTCTGCTGCTTTTCACGTGTTATTTTCGGTTCCCTTGCAGCCTTGTCCCACTCTCCCTCCCACAGTCTCTGGCCTTGTCCGCCGGTCCTCTGCTGCCCTCGTGTGGCTCTAGGTGGAAAGGCAGCTTCCCCAGCCCCACCCAAGGTGCGGCTGGGGATGGAGCTGGGGATGAGCGCGAGGGGATCCAGGTGTGGATGGTCGGCACGGGTTTGGCTCCGCGCCTTTGACCTGGTCTGTGCCCTGGATTAACTTTGACCTATTGTTGGTGGGGAGGATAGACGCCTGAGCGTGGCCTCGGGTCTGTGTTAGCCTTGGGAAAGGCCACTCTCCTTCCCGGAGGGCCCCCTTCGCCTGTAAATTTCGTGAAATTCTAAGGGGAACTACGAGGGCCTCCGCAGGCCGAGTGCGAGTCACCCCGCAGACGCTCGCTGCGCAGCCGCAGCCGGGCTTTTCCTTTTTAATAGTGGCTGGCCTAACCGAGGGTTAAGAAGGTTCGCAGAAGAATTTAATCACCTTCGGGCACCCAATGGAAGACAAAGATCAAAACTAAGCTGCTCCAAGCACTTTTCTTACTTCAGCCTCTGTTCAGAACTCAATTGCCCTCCCACCAGAAACCTGATTATTCCCGAACTGATTTTTTTTTTTTTTATGTTTCACGGTATTTAACTCTTTTCTGTTTTGAGTTTTTTTAAAATTGCACAAGCAATGCACGGTCAGTGTAGAAAGATTAAAAACCACAGCAGAAGACTTCCAGTTAATGATAACAGGTTACACTTGAGCTTTTTTCCTTAAACTTAAAATGACAACAGAGATTTTAAATCTACAAGGGCAAGAGAACAAGCAGAGGAGTCTGTAATAGAGGATGAATTTTTTCTCCAGCTTTATTGAGGTACAATTGACAGTATGTGTTTTAGGTTTGCAATGTGATATTTAAATATATATGTATATATATGGAAATCATTACTGCAATCACCATAATTAACATATCTATCCCTTCACATAGATACTGTTTTTTTGCACTGCTGGGGATTAAGCCTAGGGCTTTGCACTGGAGTACATCCTCATCCCTTTTTATTTTTGTGTTGAGACAGAATCTCACAAAGTCACCAAGTTGCCCAGGCCGGGCTAGAACTTGTGAGCCTCCTGCCTGAGGCCTTTCCAGAGTGCTTTCCAACGTGCTGGGGTTACAAGTGGGCACCACTGTGCTCAGGTACAGTACCTATTTGTTTGTTTGTTTAAATGTAGTGTGAATACTTAAAATTTACCCTCTCAGCGAATTTCAAGCACACAACATGTCAGTACTGCAGGAGGGCCTTGGAAGCCAGAGTAGAAAGCAATGAGTGATTCACCCAACCTCGGAAAGCTGCAGCTCACACCCCAGTGGGTCTGTTCAGACAGCTGGATCTATGTTGGGTACCTCAGAAAGGCTCAGACGTTTGTAGAAGCAGATTATCCTGAAACCAGAAAGTGATAGACCCCTCTGCAGCCAGCATGTCCCTTTCCCCAGTTTGGGGAGAAAACCACAGGTTTATCTAGTGAGGGTAAAACCGAGGGGCTGTGGCTTGGCAGGATGGGGCTTGGGAGTGGGAACTCTGTCCTGAACATGGGAGATGAGGTGAATGCTCACATCTTGAATGTCCAACATGACTCCCTTCCCAGCTTCACTCAGCTCCCAGCACCTGCTGAGCAGCCAGACACCTCCAAATCCCTGCTGCAGTACTGATGTATCATGTCGTGGAAGTTTGCTAAGAGAGTAAATCTCAAGTATTCCCACCACGTTAAGAAAACAAGGTAGATGATCCTGGGAGGTGAGAGTAGGTGGGTGAGGGGACATCCAATGAAATGGCCTGCTCAGTCCCCAGTTGCCCAGGAGGCCCACTCAACAAGCCAGACCCCCGTGCTCATGACTTCAAGTCAGCTTTTTAATTTTTTCCTTCTGAAAAGCTGTGGCTTGGGCATGGGGTTGTAGCTCAGTGGTAGAGTATGTGCTTAGCATGCACGAGGCCCTGGGTTTGATTCTGAGCAAGGGGCTGGGGAGATCAGGAATCTGTTGCCTTTCCCTCCGAATTTCAGTTTAGAGAAAAATCACAGGAATTTCTATCAACTGTTTCCCAGATTGTCCTAACATCTGGTAATGAAATTTTTATAGTGATAATTAAGTGAATAATTTAGTGTATTTCTTAAAACCAAGGACATGCCTTTAAATGTTGAAATCAACGTTGATGTGGGGCTATGATTTTATCTACAGATTGTATTTAGGCTTCTCCAGCAGTGCCAATAATGTTCTGTAGAGCTGAACATTCTAGGTCACACGCTGCATTTAGTTGTCATGTTTCTTGAGTCTCTGATGTGAAGCAGTTCCTCAGTCTTTCTTTGCCTTCAAGACATTGGTATTTCCAAGTGTTTTGCAGAATGTTCCTCAGTTTAGGTTTGACTCATGTTCCCTACTGATTACATCTAGTTTGTATACCATTGGCAAGAGCATCACAGAAATGGTGTTTCATTTTTGGTTCATCTAACCAGGAGGCACATGGCCCCTATTTCTACTATAGCTGATGGTGTGAACTTCAATCTCACATTTAAGGAAGTGTCTGCCACATGTCTTTAGTGTGTTTTTCATTTTGTAATTAATAAGTATTAATCACTCTGTCATTTTAGCATCATTCATGGGTCTTGCTTGAATCATTTGTTATCAAGATGTTATCTTGTGGTAACTTTCTATATCTTTCAGTGTATCTTGTAGTAACTATATCTATCATTCCTTTTATAATTATGAGTTGCTTTTCCCTTCTTCCATATATTTATTAATTAAATTATGTCAATATATCCTTAAGGATTTTATTTATATATATGTATATATTTGTATGCTCAATTTGTTCTAGATTTTGTCCATTAGGAACCCCTTCAAGCTGGATTTTATATTCTTTTGGTATGTCTCTAGCATCCTGGAGTCCTGGACTCCTGGAGTTTAGAATGTCTTGAGCCCCTTCTGTCACAAAGAGATATTCTGGGCTCATTTACTCCCCCCCCCCCAGCCCAGGAATCAACCATTTCTTCAATGAGTGTTGCGGACACATTTTCATCACTGAGATACAATATGCAACACCTGCAACATAAAGGAGGAGACATTTATTTTGGCTCACGTTTTCAGTCCATGGTTGGCTAGCTCCAAGGCAGGATCAATAAGAATGTTTACCCTGTGCTATTGTATGTCGACAGTGTTTAACTTTCTTGTATATTTAAAAGAAAAGTAAAAAAGTTAAAAGTTTCAAGTCTCAGAGACTTTGGATTTAGACTTTTTAGCACTGCTGAAACTTAAGAATTTGGTGACTCTTAGAGATGGATTAAACACAGTTTACATAAAGAGACACGCATGAGTCTTTTGGGGACCAGGGTAGAATACCATATATCTAGATGCTTCCCAAGAGCTGCATGTGCTCAAAGGGGGACTTTTAAAGATGATTAATTCATGGGGGCAATATAACTCATTTGCTGCTAGGAGATGGGGTCTGGTTAGAAGAGGTAGACCACTGTGGGAGTGACCTGGAAGAATATCTTCCTCCCTGGCTCCTCACTTCTCATTCTGCTTTCCAGCTGCCATGATATGAGCAGCTTTCTTCTGTCCAGGCCTTTCCACCATGCTAAAGGGAGGAATAAGGAGATAGAAACCAAAGAGACCAAAGTAAGACCACAGCCCACCAGGGCAATCCTGTGGGTCCACGCTCATGTGCCTGGGGCAAAGATGTGATCTCCAAAGGGGTTAGGTGGCTCCAGGCCTATGGCACTGTGTATTGGAACCCTCATGGCTTCTCTCCTGGGGCAGCACCTCTCACAGCCTATGACTTTCTTTCCATGGTTTTGGCTTCTCTAACTTTCTAGGGCCTCCACAGCACTTTTGGTTTTACTTTCACAGCTTTCATGAACTGACCTTTCAGGGCCACACTGCCTGGCCTTCCAGGTCTTTTATTGAAATTTGGGTGGAAGCCTCCCTGACTCTACAACTCTCTTGCACTTTGCATACACAAAAAAACCCCACTTGGATGATGCCAAGGTCTGCCACTAGCTTGAATAGGAGCCAGGCCCATTGTATAGTAGCTGCAAAGGCCTCTGAGTGTGTGTTTGGCTGAGCACTGTGAAACAAATTTCAAATCTTGGCCCCTAGTTTCTTAGACTATCCATCTCAAGCAAGATGCCCTGAGTTTTCTCTTCTTAATGCAAAATCTTTTCCTTTGAGCTCTTGAGCCTGTGAAGGGGAGAATCTTGCTGATTTCTGGGATGCTTTCAGAGCATCCTTCCTATTTTCCCTATATAAAGTATCAACTATTAAAAATGCTAACCTTTTTAACAGTCAGTCTCTCTTCATCCAGAACTTTACAGGCTCCAACTTTACAGGAGCTTCCTTTCTGGTGAAACTCAATGGCGTCATTTGTTCTCAATTCTCAGTGTGGAGCTGGCTAACACCCCCCAACAGTACCCTTGCTACAGGCTGAACTTGGGGCCACCTTGAAAATTTCTCTACTAGATTAGTCCATTGCTCTTAATCTCAGTCTCCTGCACAATCTCAGGGCATGAGCAAAATGTAAACAAATTTTCTGCCAGAGCATAGCACATGTGGTCTCAGTCTAACTACCAACAGATCTCTAACTGTTCCCAACTGAAACTTCTTCAGTCTTGTCCTTATTGTCTGTATTTTTATGAGCATTCTGGTCTTCTGAGCTTCAATCAGAATCTTCTATCAAGCTCAGCTTATAGCATTTTAGAACTATTCTAGCCAGCACCTCTAAACCTTTTAAAACTCCTCCTCCCAACCAGTTCTAAAAGTTTTAAATCCTTTTTATATCCTTTCCTCTCCCCTTTCTCCCTCCCTCCATCTCTTGGTCCTCTTCCTATTTTTTTTTTTTTTTGTACCGGGGATTGAACTTGGGTCCTTCCACTTGCAAGGCAGGCTGCGGAAACACTGAGCTAAATCCCCGGCCTGGTCCTCTTCCTATTTGCAAAAAAAAATTAAGAGGTGTCATGTGTATGTGCCAACTATCCACAATGGATGTATTTATTATGTACCACAAACATGTACTAATAAAAAATAAATAAAAAAAATTTCAAATACAAACTTCCTTTAAAAAAACAAAAACTTTTAGGTTTTTTTTTGGTACCAGGGATCGAACTTGTGTCCTTGCGCTTGAGCAGCAGGCAGCGAAACAACTGAGCTAAATCCCCAGCCCTAAAAAACCAAAAACTTTTAAACCACATGTTCAGATATAGTTACAGCAGTGACCTCACGTCTGGTACTAAAATCTGTCTTAGTCACTTTCTTCATTGCTTGGACATAAAACCTGACACCCCCAACTTAAAGGAGAAGAGATTTATTTTGGCTCAGATTTTCTGTCCATGTTTGCCTAACTCTAAGGTGAAATGGCATGGTAGAGGGGCATAGTGAAAAAATGCTGCTCTCATCATAGCAATCAGGAAGCACAAAGAGAAGGGAGGAGCAGCAGAGGGAAAAACACCCTTGCAGGTCATATCCCAGTGACCTGTCTCTTTTGATCAGACCTCACTTCCCAACAGCAAATTAGCTATAGTACTTTCATGAGTTAATTATCTTTCAAAAGTCCTTCCTCTGGCTGAGTCTCTTGGGGGAGCATCTAGCTACAAACCATAACATTTCATTATTTTAGTAATACCTCATGAAATAACAGCAAAAGATAATCAGATAGCTGAGGAAAGCTTCCAACAAATAGAGACAAACCAAACCAAATCAAACCAACCAGCCAACCAACCAGCCAACCAACCAACTAACCAAAAAGAAAACTTGCCAGAAGCAGATAAGCATAAAGATAAACATGCAAAAAAAAAAAAATCCACCCAACAGACTACCACTATTTCAGAGAGCCAAGAGAAGCAGTTTCATCTGCTAAATAACAAGATGCCATAAAAAAGGGGGGAAAAGGTCTTGGATGTTAAATATTTCATAGTATGTTAATCAAGGTTTTTATTACTATAATGGAATACCAGAGAGAATCAACATAAAGAAAGATTTATTTTGGCATATAGGTTTAGAAGTTTCAGTCCATGATTGGTTGACCTGGTTGCTTTGGGCCTGGTGAGAGGCAGCACATCACGGCAGGTAAGTGTGGTACAGCAAAGCTGCTCACTTCATGGTCAGGACAAAAGAAGAAAAGAGGAAGGGACTGGACTTCCACAATCCCCTCTGAGACCATGCCCCCAAAGACCTAAAGACCTCCCATTACACCCGACCTTTCAAGGTTTCCAACACCTCCAAGAGTGCCAAGCTGGGGACCACATCTTTACCACATAGACCTCTGGGTCCCATTCCAGATCCCAACAGTATCAGGCAGCATAAATAAAAATTTCAGTAGAGCCAGGGATTTAGCTCAGTGGCACTGTGCCTGCCTCACAAATGCAAGATCCTTGAGTTCAATACCCGATATATATATTTCAATAGGGCTGGGGATTTAGCTCAGTGGTTCTGGCACCTGCCTCGCAAGTGCAAGGTCCCGAGTTTGATCCCTGGTACCAAAAAAACTCCAACAACACACATATATATATTTCAATAGAAAGGTTGTAAAATAAAGCTGAGGGAATGTCCAAAATGGTGAAGCAATTGGACAGATGGAAAATATACAAGCAAAAATAAAACAAGTTAGAGTTCCAAATTCCAGAATGTAAGGGTTCCAGCAAAATGGACAAGAAAAAAATGGAGGTGAGGCCCACAGTAAGAGGGGGCTGGGTATTGACAGACATAGAGAAACCAGGCCTTTTATGGAATGGGGGGAGAGCTTCTAGTTTTGGCTATTTGTAGGGTTGTTGGGCAAATGTGAAGAATGTACTGGGATATTTTATTAACCAGCTTTCCCAAACCATATGTATACATATACAACATTATTATAAAGTTCACCAATGTGAGTAGTACCAAATTTATAATCATAATAAAGTATACAATATTCTTCATTGTAAATTCTATACAGCCAATTGGTTCTCATGGGATACTTATGCTGCATTTTGTCAAATTCATATCTGCAGCTAACTGATGGTTATGACTCAACCATGATTTGACAAATAGAGTTGCAACTGAATTTTCACTCTTTCCAAAAGATTTATTGTTATTAAATCTGATAGAGGATTTACTGTAAAACTATTTTGCAAATCTCAAATTATAGACTATAAATTTAAACCTCTTTTAGCTTCAGGTCTACATATTTGGAAATTTAGCTGTTTTATCATTGATGTGAGTGGGTTTTTTTTTTCCACATTAGGTGTTAGTTTCCAAGTGTTTGAAAACGATTTCTTAAAAATTTCTTATGAGTTTTAACAGCTACAGACCTGATATCAATAACCTGTAATATTAACATTTTTCCCCATTTTTTCCTCATATCTAGACCAGAGGTCAGCAAACTCTTTCTGCAAAGGACCACATAGTAACTATCTTAGGCTTTGAAAGCCTCATGTGGCCTCTGTTGTGGGTCTTCTTATGTGTGTTTTTACAGCATTTAAAAAATCTAAGAATCATTCTGAGCTCGACATATAAAAAAAGCATATTGGTTGTAGTTTGCTGATTCTTGCTCTAGATAATCAACAAGACAATGACTCAAGCCTGGATTTGTAGTGTTTGCCAATTTCTGTGGTGTAAATACTCTTACTGTGCTGAGTTTAAGCTACTAATGTGATGTTCCTGAATACAGCATAGAGACAGGCACAGGAGCAGAGACCTAAATCTCCTCAAGAGCTCAGAGAATAATGAAGTGTAATAAAATTATTAGGAAGTAATACATTTTCAGAATGTGTCTATTGCCTTTGTTTTTCTATGCAGCTTATTTAAATGTAAGTTTATATACTTTAATTTTTAATAATGGTAATGTTTAGCAACTGGCTTACAAAGTTCTTCCAAATTTAACAGTTGGCTCTTGTCATCTGTTGTGAGTTGGCTGCACCTTTCATCACTGGGCAAGAAAGGGAACAGCCTCATTCTCCCTTCAACTAGAATCTGGAGCAATAGCACAGTGACCGGGAGGCAGTATAAGAAAGGACTTCCGTGGTAGAGACTGCTGGTCTACAATGCCCATAAAACTCTTGATTTGTTGTTGAACACAAGGCTGACTAGAATAAAGACTGCATTTCCCAGGCTCCCTTGCAGCTAGATGCAGCCACTACTCCATTCTGGTGGATGAGCTATAAGCAGGAACAAAGCCTGCAATTTCTGTGAGATGTCCTGAAGAAGCTGAGTGTGCTTTCTGCCCTTCCTCATTTTGGACAGATTGTGGGCATAGAAATTTCTAGCTACCTTGAACCATTATGGCAGAAAAGTAGGCTACAAGAGGTGGCTGTTTGTAGATGGAAGGGAGAAGTTAAAGATGCTCAGCTGAGCTGGACTGGCGGGAGCTCCCTGGGGGTGCAGGCGCTGGGCAGAGTCACAGAGGAGGGGCGCCCCCTGCTGGGATGGAAGGGAGGCAATGGGGTGGTGTGAGGGGGCGCGAGGCCCACCGAAGTGACAGGAGAGCTTCGAGGGGAGTGGAGTGGTGGGAGCCCTTGAAAGGAAAAGGGAGAAAGACATACGGAGTGAACCAAGGGCGCAGGGCAGTGTGGACACCCTGCTGCGGGGCGCGGGGCGCAGCGAGGAGGAGCGGGGTTCAGGAAGAGGTGGGGAGTACAAGGGCAGGGACAAGGGTGGGCTTGGTCTGTGAGCGCCCTGAAGTCTCTTTCGGCCCGGCTCAGTCTGGGGCTAATTTTGGGGTCAAATTTTGATCTGAGAGAAGCTGAGCATCTGTCCTGCTGAAGCAGACTGACCCTTGCAGAGTCGGATCCTGAACCCCAGGCCTCTCTATGCACAAGCCCGGGAACCAGCTTCCAGCGCCCGGGTGGAGGCGGGGCGATTTCTCCCCCATCTCCTGGGTGTGGCCCCGTCCCCTGTCATCTCCGTGTCTCCCACTAGAGGGCAGCAGAGTCCGGTTTAACGAGCAGCCCGCACCGGCTGAAGCTCGAGCTGAACTGAGCTCCCACTAAGGGGTGCGTGGGATTTCTCACCGCTGCCCGCGCTGCCGCTGTGCTCCAGGCACAGCCTTCGGGCTAGGTGCAGCTCCTGAGGGCCAGGGGCGGACTCCTGACTGACCTGCCTCAGCCCTGCCCGGGTCCTTTTGCTGGATCTTCTGAAGGTTGGGGCGGGGTTTGGTTGCATTTGTAACACCCCCTCCACCCTCCAGAGCCCAGCACTCAGGTGGGTGCTTAGGAAACGTTTATTGGATCAGCACCTGGGGCAGTGCGGAACGTTGAAAAGAGCCTGGCTTTGGAGTCAGGTCAGGTTTAAAGTCTGGACTTGCTGTGTGACCTGAAGCAAGACACTTAACTTCTCTGAGCCTCTGCGCTGCCAACTGTAAGCGGAAACACTGGCGCCAGACTTCAAGGGGTGTCGTGAAGATTCAGTCGAAGACCCAGGGGCATCCCTGGTACCAGAGGCCACTGGTTTAACAAAGGGAGCAATTATTACCATGCAGTTTTGGGAAATGGTAAGAAATCAGGTGTGGCTGGAGGAGCAGGTGGGGGACGTCAGAGAAGGAAGCTCGAGGTTGCGCGGGAGCCTGCACGCCACAGAGTTTTCTTTTGTCTGTGAAGGGAGCCCCCGAGGCGCTCCCGATCTTCTGCTGAAATGAAACTGAGAACAGGAAGCGCCCTCTCTGGGCAGCCTCAATTATTGAGATTTCCAGTACCAGACGGAAAAACACGCACACACACGCACGCACACACGCACACTTTAGAAATTATTTCAAATTTCAGAGGAATTGTAAGTATAGCAGGAAGAACATTCATGTCTTTTGTTGTAACCCAGAACCACCTATTGTAAATTGTGACATTTGCCTCATCATTTTCTCTCTTGTCTGCATTATTTATTTTTCCTGACTGTCCCAGAGCAAGTTGCATACATCATCCCTCGTTGCCTCTAAATACTTCAGCGTATGTTTGCAAAGAATAAGGATACACTCTTAAAAGCACAGGACAGTTATCAACGTCACGAGATTTAACGTCAGTGGAATACTTTTATCAACTCCGGACTGTTCTAAACAGAATAATAACCTCTCAAAATGTCCCTATTCAAGCCGGGTGTGGTGGCATACAGCTGTGAGCCCAGCACTGAGAAGGCTGATGCAGGAGGCTCTTAAGTTCGAGGTCAGCCTGGACTACTTAGTGAGACCCTGTCCATGTCCTAATTAAGTTTATGTTGGGCTCAGTGGCACTGTCGCTGCCTTGAAAGCACAAGGTCCTGAGTTTGATCCTCAGTACCAAAAAAAATTTTTCTGTGTTGGTTTAGAGCATTAAATTTATGACTATTTGTTATAGCACCAAAAAACAAATCAATACCAATACCTTCATTGATTCTGACTATTCCAGTTTTGCCAGTTTTGCCAGTTGACACATGAAAGTCCTTTGTTTTTTGTTTTTGGTACCGGGCATTGAACCTGGGTCCTTGTGCTTGTGAAGCAGGCAGCGGAACCACTGAGCTAAATCCCCAGCCACAAAAGTCCTTTATAAGAATTCCTCCCTTTAGCACCCGATTCAGCCTGGGAGCCCACGCTGTATTTAGCTGTCATAGGTCTTCAGTTTCCTGTAACTTGCAGCAGCTCCTGCCGTCATCTCGTCATCTCTCCCTCTCCCAGCTCCATTTGCTGTTCCCACAGGATGAGCTCTGGGTGGTGATTGCTGGCTGGAGTGCGAGTGCTGGGTAGGCGCTGTGTCCTTCTCAGGGGACGTCTGGAAGCACTTGATGCCCATGTATCTTTTGTTGGTGATGTCAGTTTTGGTCTCAAGAGGCATCTTAATGTTTTTTTAGTGCTAGGACAACTGAGAAGCATCTCACCTGCCCCAACCACCTGCAGCCCCTCTGGTGGGAACTGGTACTGTTTTTATCATGACTGTCTTCACTTGCTGGGAACCTGCACACTGGGAGACACAGAACACCTAGCCTCTGCCCTTGAGGACCACACAGCCTCCCAAAAAGCTGTGGCAGGGCTTTTTGCCTTAGTGGGCCAGGCTAGGATACGAAGGTGGACAAGAGGGAGCTGTGCCTGTCCTTGTGATGCTTGCAGTCTGGTGGGGAAGGTGATTAATCAAAGGAAGGCAGCACCCCTGGCACCTAGACACAGTAGCTGCTCAGTACGTGGGGGCTGACTGAATGAATGGGTCAGTCCTTCCATTTTGCTTCTGCCCCTTGAACAGGTAAGGAAACTGAGGCTCAGAGAGGGGAAACAGCCCTTGGTTCCTAACAAGGTAGCTTTGAGGGTTGTAAGTCCTGATCCTCCCAAGCAGAATCAGGTCAGCAAATTGGTTTCCTGTCCATGGGCAGCT